GGGAGTACTTCAAGGGTGACCATAGTGATTCAGCAATGAGGTATGTAGCACTTTTTCTAGGATGAGTTCACAAACTTAATTGTCAGAACTCATAATTAACACAACCTCACAAGTAGAATATAAGCTCCAAGAGGACAGGAAACTTAGTAAGTATATACATAAAAGAATTAATAAAAGAATGGTTATGACTGTGGGCCAAAAAAACATTATTAACAAGGACATCTGGCCAGGTGTGGCTAAGCCCCGCTTTTAGGAAAACAAGGGGCTGCCTAAGGCAGTGGTTTTCAAACTTTAAGGTTCATCAGAATCACCTGTAGGACATGTCAAAATACTGATGGCTGGGCCTCACCTGAGTTTCTGATTCAGTAAGTCTAGAGTAGGGCCCAAGAATTTTAATTTCTAAGAAGTTATAGTTGTCAAATAAAATACATAATGACCCATATGTCTTAAATTTGAATTTCAAATAAATGGTGAATAATTTTTAATTATAAATATGTCCCGAGTATTGCATTATTCATGATCTGAAATTCAAATTAAATTTGATGTCTTACATTTAACTTGCCAAGTCTGGCAGCCCTAGACAAATTCCTAGGAGATGCTGATGCTGCCTGTCCAGGAACCACACTTTGAGAACCACTGGCCTTTCTACATATAGGAGGTTTGTTAGTTCAGAGATCTTGAGTGAAGTGAAATCAATACCCACACCACCAAGCTTAAGAATCTGAACCACTCAGTCCGTATATGTGAACATGCTCCTACTTCAGTCACAAAAGGGTTTTTTGCCTACTCTATATATTAGTTACTTTTTAATAATTATTTATGTATTGTGCACTTATGATATATGAGATTTCTTCCAGGCTGTAGAAATAAAGCAAGGAATAAGGAAGTTCAGTTCCCTTGCTCCCACAGAGCTGACATTCCGTGGTTGTCTGGGGGTAGATATGATTGGGCATTCATCTGAGGAGTTACTGGACTGCACGTTGTCAGGAATTTACTTAAGACACATAAACTGTGTTGTACATTACTATGGTTATAGACCTGGACCCTGGAGTTAGAAATTAGTTCAAATCTCAGCCTCGCCACTATGACACTGGACAAGTTACTTAAAAACTTTAGTCCTCAGATTCATCTGTGAAATGGGGATAATAATTTATTCTTCTTGGGGTTGTTGAATGACAAATAAAATAACATATAAGGAACTTAGCACAGTACACGGTAGGGAGTAAAAGAGTTCACTCATCTAATAATATAGCTACTACTGTTGAAAAGTCAGCGGTTCTGTGTGATGATCTCTGGGCCAGCAGCATCAACGGACCTAGGACCTTGTTAAAATACAAATTCTCTGGCCCCATCCCAAACCTACTGCATCAGACACTGTCTTATGGGGCACAGCAGTGTGTGATTTAACAAGCCTTCCAGATGATTCTAATGCATGTTAAAATGTGGAGAACACTGCTAAAGAACGTCTAAGAGGCTAGGCTCTGTGTGTGCTAGGGGCTAAGAATATCAAGGCCAATAAGGTACATATCTTCCCTTTGTTTCCCCAGGACAGCTCTACAGAAGGGAGTAGGCCTAGTTGTGTTCATCTCTCTCTCTCTCTCTTGCTCTCTTTTATTTTTAAACTTTTATTGGGAAACAGTGTTTTTTTCCAGGACCCATCAGCTCCAAGTCAAGTAGTTGTTTCAATCTAGTTGTGGAGGACACAGCTCAGTGGCCCATGTGAGGATCGAACTGGCAATGTTGGTGTTAAGACCACTGTGCTCTAACCACCTGAGCTAACCGGCCGCCCCTGTGCTCATCTCTTTATGCACACACGTGCACATGTGTGCGCAAGTGCAGAGTCCATACTGCCTAAAACTCATCTGAAATTCATTTAAGCAAAGATTTCTTAGATTATTTTTAGCTCATTCAACATTTCATTGAATGCCTACTATGAGCCCCTATAAGGTACGTACAGAAAGCAGCCTGACTACCTGGAAAGCCTCTGCCAGGGAGGCAGCTGGACAGGAGCTGGTCTCTTTGCTGTACCAACGGAAAGAGACAGGGGCATCAGCCAGTGAGGGACCCTGGCCAGGAAGAAGAGCGACAGTCCAGTCTATGCGGGACCTTGAACAGTGCTGTCAAGTCCCAGTCTATTTGCAGCTGTCTCTCTCGGATGTCCTGGTCTTAGGTGTGGCCCAGAAGACTAGAGAGTAAGGCCATTGAGAGGAGTCCTGGCAGGAGGTGCAATCAGGCCGATCTAGGCCCTGGGACAAAATGCTAAATCCCAGACACAGAGGTGATTCGACAGCAGAACCATTGACAATCCTCCACCACTCCCACCAGCAGCCTTGAACATGAGTTTGGGAGGCACTGGTTAGCCAAGTGAGAAAGTTTGAAATGACTGTGGAAAGTTGTGCTGGTTGGGTTAAGATAAACAATCTGTCCATCAGAATCATCAGGGCAAGCTTTTTAAAAAAAAGACTGAATTCAAATATCGGAGAGATTTGTCTTATGCTCCCTAAATAATTCTGATGCACTCACTTTTCCACAGACCAACATTTTTGAGAACCATTGCGGTGTCACAGGTTTATACAGGGGCCTAAGTAATGCAATGCTTTGCACACCTGGCCAATGAAATGTGTAAATACATGATTCTCTCCTGTCTAATAGCTCACATTTTAAGGCAATGATAAGAAGTTACTATTTTGGAAGGCCCTTCACAAAGGGTTTTGAGCTCCAAGAGTTACAAATACTATTGCAGCCAGTTTTACTCAAGAATTTAAGGAAACAATGCAGAATGCTTACATAGGTAGCTACTGAGAACTGGGATTATTAAGCCTTGACTCACAATCAGTCTTTCAGAGAGATAAACCAAATCTTTTTTTATACAAAATTTTAGTTTAAAAAGTAATTTTACATCATTAAAAAATCAAATAATCGCCAATTCAGTACTAATACATTTCTCAAAATCACTGATTTTCTGACAACTCACAATTTAATAGTTTTAAAATTTAACACAAATACACACTCCCTCACTCATTACACAAAACATAACAGAAATCACCCAACTTTTTACACTTCACATCAGCCTGGGGTAAATGAAGCAAGGGGAGGTGAAATCAGTCTGCTTTCATTCATGTGAAGTCTTGCTCTGCAAACCACAAAATACCAAGCATCTTTTTGATCACCAGTTCAATTCCAAAATGAGAGTCATTTTCTACAAATTATAACAGGGGAAACCCACAGGTGATAAGTGAAAGTAGGGGAAGTTACAAACCTTACAGTGTTAGAGCTATGTCCTTTGGTTAGAGACCACATTGCAATTTTTACATACACTTGTATTTCTGACAGTCCTGTTCCCAATCTCTTTGGTAAAAGCCATCTAGACTCATATTCCTTAGATCAGTGTGTTTCATATTGCAGTTGAGCTCTATTATTGGGTTGTGAAATCAATGTAGTGAGTCACAACTGCATTACAAAAAAAAAAAAATTTTTTTGTTTCAGAATATAGCAAACATAGTGTATTCGTTCATGGAATTTTTTTGTTTCAGTTCTGTATATGTATGTGAAATTGGAACATATGTAGTCTATTTCTTACTGTGGGTTGCATTTTTTTTAAAGTTTAAAAATTACTGTCCTAGATGATGCCTCATCCCAGCTTGAAGATGCAGTTAAGCAGAATGACTCTCCCCTTTGCCACAAATGAGCATTTTAATTCTTTAAGCATTTCTGGACAAAGTGGCCATTAGTTCTTTAGACCTCTGCCCTTCTCAGGCTATGGTTTAAGACCATTTTAAAATCACCTAATTTCTATCCAGTCATTTTCCAATATCCTATAGGATGATACACCTGTTTTCTTTGCCCTTTTCTTTTTTCCTTCCGAATGCCCTGAGACTTCATTGTACTTGTCCTATCTGCAACAGCAACCATCCACTTCCTGTGCCTCCTAGATTCCAGATTCAGGTCCCCTCCCTACAGTGTACAATATGGCTCCCAGCTGCTCACCTATTTCTTATTGCTGAAATGAACACAAATTATTTCTTTGGGGGGCAAATGTGGCGAGAAGAGAAGGTAGAGAATTGTTTTATTCATTTTACTTAAATAAACCAAAGAAATTAAGATAGAGCCAAAAAAAGACTGATACCAAGACTAGTTTGGAAATCAGGACCTATCAACAGAGATGTCAGCGCCAGATGGAGCTGCTGGGGAAAGGAAGGCACAAGACCTCAGGTCAGCCCCAGGCAGGGTCAGCTACATGGGCACATGATCTGTGCAGTACTACAGGGCACTGAACTCGGAGATGCCATGCTTGGCTTAATGCTCTGCTATTTCCACCTTGACATTCTTAACAATTTTATCTTGTATTTTGTAAATAAAAGTCCACTGAGACAATGCAGCCTGTGTGTGAACAGAGGGGATATGTGCAACATGCATGTCTGCTGTTCCTTGACTCTCTATTCACATGTTAGCATCTGTGAGCCCAGAATTCCATTGGACCCGTAACATATGGAATTTTCAGTAAGACTCCAAACAAGCGCAAGGTGTGTTACCTCTAGAACTGAGTAGGGAAGAGTACTGACAGCCCCAAGAGGCCATCCTTTCAGCTTTAACCAGAACTTGGTTTAAACAAAGACAGGGGCCAAGGAACCTTATTCTTGTTTATATTACTTCCTTGTATTAGCCAACCATTTACACTAAGGATGACATAGAAGGGAAAGTTAAGGCAACTCTGATAGTTTTCCCTTTTAGTTTGCTGGCACACATCTCTAAGTCAAATGCAGAGAATGCCGCTAGAATGTGGGGTATCAAGAAGTGAAATAAAAAGTTGTTACTTTTGTCCAGTATTGCCGCTGTACTGATAAGAACTAAATACACGTGAATGTGGAAGCTACGAAATACCAATTATGTAATTTCAATGATTCCGCATAGAGTGGAATGCTTTTGTTTGCATTGAAAATCGTCATTATACAATATGAATGGTAAAATTCATGCTAATATAAAATTTTAATTTTTCTTAGAATGACATTGAAAAGCTAATTTGAAAATACCATGACAAGTTGAGAAAGAAATCACAGAAAGGCCCTCTGCGAGCTTGGACCCAGCCCCAGCCCCGCCCCAGCCTCCCCGAAGTCACTTGGGAGTGAGGCGGCAGCTGACTGCGCGTTCAGGGCCCGCTGGGAGCCAGGAGTCCGCCGCCGTTATGAACATCCGCAATGCGAGGCCGGAGGACCTGATAAACGTGCAACACTGCAACCTCCTGTGCCTGCCAGAGAACTACCAGATGAAGTATTACTTCTACCACGGCCTCTCCTGGCCCCAGCTCTCTTACATCGCTGAAGATGAGAACGGGAAGATTGTGGGGTACGTCCTGGCCAAAATGGAAGAGGACCCAGATGACGTGCCCCACGGACATATCACCTCACTGGCTGTGAAGCGTTCTCACCGGCGCCTCGGCCTGGCTCAGAAGCTGATGGACCAGGCCTCCCGAGCCATGATGGAGAACTTCAATGCCAAATATGTCTCTCTACATGTCAGGAAGAGTAACCGGGCCGCCCTGCACCTCTATTTCAACACCCTCAACTTTCAGATAAGCGAAGTGGAGCCCAAATACTATGCAGATGGGGAAGATGCGTATGCGATGAAGCGGGATCTCACCCAGATGGCTGAGGAGCTGAGGCGGTACCTGGAGCTGAAGAAGGGCAGGCACCCGGTGCTGGGCTTCATTGAGAACAAGATGGAGAGCAAGGGCAGCTCACTGCCAAGCTCAGGAGGGGCCTGTCCTGAGAAGGGCCTGGCTGCTGAGGATAGCAGTGGTGACAGCAAGGACCTCAACAAGGTCAGCGACACCACAGCGAGCCCCGACGTCAAGGACAGCTCAGAGGCCTCCGACCCGGCCTCCTAGAGCTGGCAAGTGCTCCTCTCTCCGCCCTGGCCTGCCCATCCCATCCTCACCCCTCAAGGTTTCACAATAAACTTCACCCAGTAGCCTTGAAAACCAAAACAAGGCCACAGAAGGAAAAAGCTTTATATTTCAGTCACTTTAATGGCACCTTTTTCCTGCTTTTTAAACAAGAGGCATTTTCATTTTGCACTGGGCTCTGCAAACTATGAAGCTGACCCTGTCTTCAGGACTAGAAACAGGACCGACAGCATCCTGTTCCTCTTGAATTACTGTACTTTTCTTTCCTAGGGCTGGGTGTGGGGTCCAGGAAGCGCAGGGGGCTCCAGAAAGACTTCATTCTGAAATCCACCACAGACAAGAATCCTCAGTGTCCTTTCCCCAAGCTCTGGCATGTATCGTGACTGTGGACCTTAGGGGTAGTAAGCATGAGCTTGGCCTGCATGGGCAAACATCACGGTGCTTACACCTACACTTTGAGTTTGGAGGTCCTGGTGAGTGTGCACTTTCAAAAGTGCCCTCACTATCCAAAGTGCAATTGTAGTCCAGAAAAGAAAGTGGACTCTATGATGTAGAATGAAATGGAGAACTCAAGACTCATCACAACACTGAATACTGGTGAATGACGAAGAGGGAGTCTGGATCAAGCATCAGGCCCTGAAGAGACCCATCTATTGGAATGCCAATCTTTGGTTCCCCTTGTTCAAGAAACAAATCCACCCAGGGACTTCCATATCCTGTTGTCCTTCATTTTTCTTTTTCAATTTTTTGGGTTTGTTTTTTTTTCATTTTTCAGCTCATTACATTTAAAAGTTTCTATGTCCTATCCTCCCTTGCTCTAATGGTAGTATTTCCACAAAGATTACTAGTGGCCAAGTTGTAAATCGAATGGCAATATTTTTTAACTGTAAAAATAGGTTATTAAAACATAGTTACAATGCCATAAAATTTTGAACAGAATTACTTATTACATTATATAGCTTTCTCCAGTTCAGCGAACTGCAAAACATGATCATTACAAAAAGCATAATTTTATTACTTTCAACATTTGTTTTCATCACAATAAACTAAAATAACACATGGCTTTATAAAAATAAATTTTTATTAAAAGCAGTAGAGTCTGAGCAGGAGACAGTACAAAGTGTGTAAACAATGTAAACATCACTACATTCAGCTCAGCCTGATTGAATGCTGAAAGACAACTCTAAATACTCTATGTGCCCTTACTAGCAAGATACATTAATTCTATTGTACACAGAAAATGCACTAATTTTGTTTAGGAAAAAGTATTTTATCGAAGTCGGTCCCAACGCCAAATACTGGCATCATCACAAACAGCTATAAGAATGCTGCTATCCCTGCTAAAACTGGTTTGCCGAATAGCAGCAGCACATTTTTGATGAGTCAGTGTTGTACATCTAGGGAGAAAATACGACAAGAGGTTAAATACCATACAGGCATAATATTGTCAGTATCTAACTTAAAACAATGTATTAGAAATGAATAGATATTCCAAGTCATAGAGAAAGCATCTGAAACCAGAATATACTTCACTAAGAGCTCAATCTCAAATTTCATAAAATTTGGGTATATTTTAAATTCAAGAGGCACTGTATAACTTACATAAAAAGAGAAATAACTTGTTATCAAGGTACTCATGAAAAACAATCATTATTAGAATAAAAAAGAAATGCTTAAAAATACTGTGAGACATGTAAATGTTACAAATGATTTAAAGATAGCATTGCAAGTATCAATTATTTCCTACACATTTGGCATAACATTTTGGGAAAAAGGCAGAAATTATGAACTGGAATTTCTAAATACTTACTTGGCCTTATGAGGATCTTCTACTTCTAAATCCCAAACATAAAGTTTGCCAACCTGATTGCCCAATGCAAGCATCTGTATAAAAATATTTTTAAAAACACCAAATTATTAAAATAAGCTATAAAGTTTTCAAGCAGTCCTAATACATCTTTCTTATTATTTCGGAAAAACTTCAGCTCCAGCCTCTGGCTATGCTGTTCATTATTTCTTTGCATCTTGTATTTCGGATTTGTAAGTGGGGATAAAAAGCAACAAATGCTTCACAGGTGTCTTGAGTAAATTAAGAAGGCATTTTGTGAACTTAATGAAGGGCTTTACAATTTTGACTGTTAACATGTACTCCTTATTCTGCCTTACAGAAAACTGTAGCAAAAGCTATAGAAAGCCCTTCCAAAGCTTTCTTATAAACACCCAGGTAATTTGTTACCACAAAATCCTAACAACGTATTTCTTTAAGATTTTACATAACTAGTATTTTGTCTCTATCTCCATATGATTTTTTTCAAAGTTATTCTAGGAAAAAGCCACATAAAAATATTAACACTCTAATCACCAAATCATTAAATCTTAGTATCACATGTTGTGGAACGTAAACACCTAACTGCCATCAATGACACCTGTCAACATTTATAATAAGCACTGCAGATGTTGTGCTGAGCCACAAGGGTAGAACAAATAACATCAAAGGCCAAAGCAAATAATACAAAACAAGGTGGATCCTTAAAGGAAAGAGCACACAGATGCACAACAAACTAAAATTACGATAGGTTTTTTTAAGTCAAATAATTTCAAAATGTAAAAAAGTTGCTACCTTTTGCCAGAAGTCCATAGAAAACCTCATGTACCAAATGTCACACTGGCTGTAATCAAATCGCCCAAGAATAGTCACATTTGACTCACTGGGCTTAATTTTATCTATATCATCTTCCATTTTACCAGGTTTCCAGCACACTATGGCGTTTTCACAAGACTTTAAAAAAAGAGACATGAGAAAAAAAGATATATTACTTGTAGAACTGAATTACAAATACTGAAACAAAGCTTTTTCTCTACTATCATTTTAGAATTGACTGCTCGTAGAACCTGCTTATCCATCTACTAAGTACAGTTATATACATACATTTATATTTACAGCGTCATTGTCTACATTTGAGGACAAAAAGTCTGATTATCAACAGATTTTGACAATACAAAAGTATTACACTGTCTGGAGATCACTCATTTTGGAAGTCACAATTTCTCTTACAAACCAAACCAAGTTCAGCTCTGGATACCTTAGTACCCAGAGACTAGAAGTGTTTTGTAGCAAAGGTAAAATTACAAACACTGTATTAGAACAGAGCTCTTCGATATGGCCCCTGCTTACTTCACTAGTTTCATCTTTCCCCATCCAGCTGCTCATTCCACTTCTAACCCCACATGGTTCCCTTTATCTAGATAACTATTAATCCTTCATCCCTATGACAATAGATGTCATAGGAAAGCTAACAAATTCACAGAAAGGGCCTTGGAGATCAGATTATATAGAAGGCATAAAGCAGTGGTTTAACATTAAGACATTTATGGGACTGAAATAGGCAAGCTATACTATGCCCTTCACTATCCTCTAAAATCAAATCATTGCACACATTCTATTTAAGCAGCAAGTGGTACAGAACACAATGGAAGAAAATTTGCAAAACCGCAGACACTATTATTCATGTTACTGTGTGGGTCAGTGGTTTGCCAGTTAAGGGGCATTTGGCAATGTCTCCGGCCTCTACTGAAGACAGACCAGAGATGCTGCTGAACACCGTACAGTGCACACCAACAGGCGCCAGGACTGAAAATTCCTGGTGCAGGTGAAGAGAGCCTCCTTAAGTTTTACAGGACACAGCCCACACAGTCACAGGTGGCAGCCATGTGGGGTTGACTGGCATTTAAACAGCCTAACAAGAGGGCCACAGAGGAAGATTGGGGGTCAACATGCTCCCCACCCCGCAAACACTGAAAGACTATTGTGGAGGGTTCCCACCTGGGATCCCACACGCTTTTCTTCTTCTCTGCCTTTTTTAGCTTATATAAATTTCCAGGCCTATATGTTATACAAGTTCTTTACTGTAGAATACCTTAGAGATCACCTAGTCTGATGACTCTTAACTAAGTGCACAACTAAATCGATAGCCTGTAGTTTTCCCAACTCATTGGCCCCAACACCCTACTATATATCTCTGAGAGAGGAGGCTGGAGGAGAATTATAAAATAGCTGTTCAAGTGCTTCTTACTGACTATACTAGTAAAGTATCCTTAATTAGTATGGTTGCCTCGTGGAGAGCTACAGCCTAGGTAGGTAAAAAGAATTTACCCAAAGGATGACTACACTCGATATCATCTAGAAAGCCTTTTAAAATAACAAATTCCTAGGTCCTTGTGCCAGATTTAGAATCTCTGAGGGGTAAGATCTAAGAATCTATTTTTACAACATGTTCCCAATGATTCTGACGCACAGCCAGATTTGAGACCAACACAGTTCATTCAGTTCAGCATCCCACCTAAAATGCAGAAACCCTTCCTATCATCTGATTAAGTTCTAAGAGCAGAAATTTTAGAGCCTTTTATTTCTGCTTCCAAAACTACAAAATAGATGTACTTTTCCTTATTTGTCCCACTAAGTACAGCTTAAAATTCTAACGGTAGAGAGGAGACAGACTGATTAGGAATCCTGGGGCTTGGAGGAAATTGAGTTCCCTGGTTTTCTTTTCCCTCATTTATGCAACACAGACTGAATGCTAGAGAAGGTGGCAACTCAACAATGCTAATGGGTGAATGTGAAGACAAAAACAAACAAACCAAAATTCAACAAAATCCTGCTCTCTACAAGGGACCAGGAAAGTAGCAACCTAGGGCGAGAGGCAATTTTCACACAAATGCTCTACCTACAGCCAAAAATACCACAGAAAAAAACTGTGGACTTGCCCCCATATGAACCAGCAAAGGCCCAGTGGGAAACCCTTCCGAGGCAGTAACTAAGCACCTCAAGAACATAATACCCCTGATTCCCCAGGCCCCTTATGGTAATGAGGTGGCTCTGCTCCTTTTCTCTGGCTGGGGTGGTATCGGAGGAGGCCTAGGAGAGTCAGGATGTTCATAACCACCCACCACCTGCAGTATCTGTGGAGACCACCTGGGAAGCAGTAATAAGTCATGTCAGCCCCTCCTGCTAGGGTAGTGTCACCTGAGGCCCAGTGGAAAGGCGGAACTCCTACGCCAGCAGTAATGAAACACCATCACCAAGTCAACTGACCGGGGAACCTGGACTTCCCTTGCTACCTGCCAATCAGGAGGCAGCGCTCTCCTTCTCCAGCTGAAGATTGATCAGAGGGAGCCTGCTGTAGATCTAAAGTAAGATCCAGAGTTCCATAACATAATACCCAAAATATCCAGATCGAAATAAAAACATCACTTGCCATATCAAAAAACATAAAAATCTGAACTTCAATGAGAAGACAACAGATGCCAACACAGAGGTGACACAGATGTTAGAACTATCTGATGAAGATTTTAAAGCAGCCATAATAAAAATGCTTCAACGAGCAATTATAAACACACGTAAGACATAAACCTACTATGGATTCAAGGTGAGTGAGCCCCAATAAGATACACTCAAAGAAATCTGTATCACGGCACATCATAGTCCAACTTCTGAAAAGTAAACACAAAGGAAAAAATCCTGAAAGCAGTTAAGACAGAAAGAACACCCTACCAGTGGGGGAAAAACAATTCCAATGATGGCAGATTTCTCATCAAAAGCCACCGAGACCAAAAAGAGGGCACAACATTTTTCAATTGCTTAAAGAACTGGCAATACAAAATCCTATATTCAATGAATATATCTTTAAAGAATGAAGGGGAAATGAAGATATTCTCAGACTTTAAACCCAAGAGAATTTGTCACCAGAAGACCTACCCTAAACAAATGGCTACAGGAAGTTTTATGAACAGAAAAGAAATGATATAAAAAGGAATCTTGGGACATCAGGAAGGAGCATCAACAGAAAAAGCAAAATTAGTCAATACAATATTCTGTTTTCTATCTTGATTTTTAAATTACATTTGATGGCTGAAGCAAAAATTGTAATACTATGTAAGTAGTTCTCAATTGTAAAGGGAATACGTAAGACAATTATAAA